CCTTTGCCTCCAAAATACTGTAGGTTCAACCTCCAAAACCCTCCTCCTCCTCTCCTCGGTCCTGTCTGCACAGGCCCACACAGGATGGTGTCCCTCCTGGGCAGAAACCCTTCTGTGGCTCCCCATATACAGCTTTATACCCAGCTTGTAGGACAACCTATGGAAGAGTGCCTTTCACATTGGAGCATGGCAAATGCTATGTTTATTATAAATATTCTCAGGTAGATTTTAGTGAAGGGCCTTGTTCCAATAAAAGTATTTTACTACAATTTTCCAACTAAATGGAAAAGTCTTGGGGAGTGGATGCCTTCCACTCTCTCTAAAAAATCAGTGGAATCAATAAGCCCTGGTGTGATTAAATAAAATACATTTCTTAAAAAGAGAGAGAGAGAGGGAGGCAAAAGAGACATGACAACTAAATGCCATACCTGAGCCTAGACTAACTAAATCCTGCACAGGAAGGGGAGAAGGCAACAAAGGACGTTATTGACAAAATTGGAGTATGAACAGAAAATTAGATAAAAGGGTTATACCAAAGATAAATTTACTGTTCTAGTTATATAAAAGAATATCCCTATTCTTGGACTGCCCACACGAAAGTATTTAGATAAAGGACCATGATGTATATAATTTACCTTCAGATGATTCAGAAAAAAATTCACATAACATATAATTTAAATATTGTATATAAAAGAGAGAAGACACCTACATAAATGATAAAACTGCCCAGCCGGTGTGGCTCAGTGGTCGAGCATCAACCTATGAACCAGGAGGTCACAGTTCGATTCTCAGTCAGCGCACATGCCCAGATTGCGGGCTCAGTCCCTAGTGTGGGGTGTGGCAGCCGATCAATGATTCTCATCATTCACCTTTCTATCTCTCTCTTTCTCTCCTTTCCCCCTTGAAATCAATAAATAATATATTTTTTAAAAAATGATAAAACAAATGGTGTAAAATGTTAGTAGGTAAATCTGAGTAAAGAGTATATGGGTGTTCTTGGTACTGTTTCTATTCTTGGAAACTGTGTCTAAGTTTGAAATTATTTCCCCAAATTTTTTTATATATATAATAAAGCACTAAATAAACTATACTAAATAACTCAAAAAAAAAAAAAATGAGGTTAGTTGTCTTAACTATCCACTCTCACAATAGGCCCAGACTAACAACTACATGATTTTTTTTTTAAAAAAAACAATACATTTTATGCTTTTTATCTAAACAAAAGTGATTTTATTTTTCTTGCAGAAACAACATGCTCCCTGGCCATGGGAAAACAGCCTGTCATGGACATTTGTGGCTTTGCTGGCCACTGTGTCTTACAAACCAGTTTGGCACGATCACCTTCGCTGCAGATCCTGGGCTGCAGGAAGTGGGAACAGATACTATGTAACTTATAAATAACATCCACCATGTAAAGAGAATAACCCAAGGTATAGCCACATCCCCAAATTGCAGAATTGCACATTTTTTGCTTTGAAGCAGGAAGATCCTGGGATGCATGGAAATACAGTTCAATGCCGTTTGATCAGATAGCCTTATGGTCACCAGTTAGAAGATTATTTGGAAAAGTTATTTAAACTTTTGTATAAAAAAGACATAAACTACACAACTATATTAATTTTACCTTTGCTAGGATTATCCATTATTTTTTTTACTCTTTGTAATTTATCATCTTCTATAATAAGTATGTATTATTTTTTTAAAAGCACAATCATGGCTAAGTTTTATTTTAATTTTATTGTTTTTAGAAAAAGGAGGGAGAGAGAGAGAAACATGGTCGGTTGCCTCCCACACGAGCCCCAACTGAGGATTGAACCCACAATCTCGGTATGTGCTCTGACCAGGAATTGAACCCATGACCTTCCAGGGCATGGGATGATGCTCCAACCAAGCCACACCAGCCAGAGCCATGGATAAGTTTTTCAATGAAGTAGAAATCATATTCAAGTACTCATACACAAAAAGACACAATAGCTGCTTTATTCTATAGAAAATTCCTAAATTATTTACATATAACCTTGCCTTCCAGTAGAGGGAAATTATACAACAAATACCTTACTCCTCAACATTAACTTCTGTAAATGACAAATAAAACATAAACCTAAACAAGCAGTCATTGGAAAAACTTACCTTCTATAATACTAGGTAAAAAAACAAACAAACTAGGTTGAAATAAGTATACAACCTGGCCACCAGTGTGGCTCAATGGTTGAGCATCGACCCATGAACCAGGAAGTCACGGTCAATTCCAGGTCAGGGCACATGCCCAGATTGCAGGCTTGATCCCCAGTAGCGGGTATGCAGAAGGCAGCTGATAATTGATTCTCATCATTGATGTTTCTATATCTCTCTCTCCTTTCCTCTCTGAAATCAATAAAATATATTTTAAAAAATAATAACAATATACAACCTGCAAAGTTAGAACACTGTATTAAGTTTGTACAGTGCCAGATTAAATAAAATTCAACAGAAACTTTAAATATTATCAGGAGAATCTATTTTAAGAAGCAATGTTTTTTTTTCCTAGAATACTGGTATAGATAGATCATTCATACTTTTATGTAAAGAAAAAAACTTAAGCATGATATAATTAAAATTCATTTTTAAATAAAAGTAAAAAATTGTATAGTTAAGAGCCAGATAGACCTGGGTTCAAATTCTAATTCTGCAATTTATTAGCTGTATAAGTTTATGTAAATGACTTAACTGTTCTGTGCCTCAATTTTCTTACTAGTAAAATTTGTGAAAGCGGGAAAAATAATCTCTGCTCCCTAGGATTATAAAGATAAAGGATAACAGAAGTAAAGCAAATAAATATAAGTAAATAGTAAGTGCCTGGCAAATAGTAGGTGCTCAATAAACAATGGTAGTAGTAAATATTGTTGCTATTGAGATCATTAATAAAACATATAGTTTTACCACTTGCCTGAAAAGGCAGGAAACAGCAAATGAAATCTTCACATGCCTGATTCACAGATCCTGGCCAACTCTACAAAGGCCCCTCCTCTATATTGGTGCCTCTCTGATGACTCTTTGTACATTTTAAGTTGCGATAAACAAGGAATGTTCACAAGCAGGACAAATCGTCTGTAAACAAGCTGTCCTTCAGCAGCAACCACCCAATCACACTCCTCACCTGGTCTCCCTCTGACTCTGTATGGAGCCGCCCCTGACACCCATCTCCAGCCCAGGTTTCTACCCAAACCATCCCCATTTGGACTCAGGGACCCAGGCTGCCTTTGCTCTTATGGTTTTACCATCTCAGTATCTGGCCCTCACTATCCCCCTGCAGGGGAAGGGAGAGTGGAAAGTTCGCACAGGTCTTTTCACTGCCTCAGTCCAGAAGAGACACACTGATTTTTGCTCACAGGCAATTGTGCAGCCGGGAAGGAGAAAAAACAATACACTGGTGAAAACGAACACTGTCTACCATGGCCTTATGTTACTTTCACTTTTTAGTTGAGAAATATTGGAATCATATAACCCCAAGCACTGCTGGCAGCCATCTCAGCACCATGAAGGAAGTCTGCCCTCAGATGCAGCTCACATAGTGGAAGCCGAGCAGAGAGAGGAAGAGAAACGAGACCTTGACATCATCAAGCCGTATCTATAGCCTAAACCAGCCGTGGGCAAACTACAGCCCGCGGGCCGGATCCGGCCCGTTTGAAATGAATAAAACTAAAAAAAAAAAAAGACCGTACCCTTTTATGTAATGATGTTTACTTTGAATTTATATTAGTTCACACAAACACTCCATCCATGCTTTTGTTCCAGCCCTCCGGTCCAGTTTAAGAACCCATTGTGGCCCTCGAGTCAAAAAGTTTGCCCACCCCTGGCCTAAACCATCTCTGGTCTTTTAGATGAAATGAGGAATTCCCTTGAGTGTTTAAGGCAGTGTAGGTTGGGTTTCCTGTTGATTTCAACAAAGACTCCTAATTTATAATACCAACACGCTGATCCAGCCACCTTGAGTCACTTTTGGTTCTCTAAAATACATTTATTTTTATTTCAAAACTAGAGGCCTGATACACGAAATTCGTGCAAGAGTAGGCCTTCCTTCCCCCGACTGCTGGCACCAGCTTCCCTCTGGCACCCGAGACCTGGGCTTCCCTCACAGCCCCGGCTTCGTCCAGAAGGTCGCCCAGAAGGATGTCTGGTCTAATTAGCATATTATGCTTTTATTATTGTAGATAAGCCCAAAATGAGTTGAGCATAATCACCATAAAAAGCAAGATCCGGGCCCTTCTTGTTACGGCTGAAGAGCAAAATGACCATCGGCGACATCTAGGAAAGCTTTTAACAACTGAGAACGTGGCAGCTGTGGAGGAGTGCCATTCCTTAAGTGTTAACTTGCAGATATATCGGTCATTTTAGGGCATCTGCCTGGATAAATGACCGTGGGCTGCTTTCTGAGGTCCAAGCTTCTCTCAAAACCAGCTGCTGAGCAATCAGGTTGGACGCTACTGAGAAGAAACTGGGCACCATGTAAAGACCCTCATCTGAGGCCTGCCGACTCCTGTATGAAAAGCACGTGGGTAGAGAAATGCCTGTTGAGTCAAAGTTGTGCTTCTAACTTCCTGCTGTGGTCATCTGAGTGGGGAAGTGTGTGTCCCGCTCGGTGTGCGCCACGCCGCTCCAACCAGCGTGGCTGAGTCAAGCGGAAAGCGCTTCAAGCCAGCATCAACAGGGGGAAATGGAGAAGCATCTTCAATCAGGGGAGACAGACGCCCCCCTCCCTTCGTATTATAATTCCCTCACTCTCTCGCCACATTTAAACCGCTAGAGAAGCCCCCAAGCAAAGTGATAGAACATTTGAAAGTTGCCAAGGGAGACCTTCTAGAAAGAGTGTGGTGAATGAAACACTTGGTCTTCTCAGTCCTACCACTTCATCTTGTCTTTGGTCACTAGATTTTTTTTTTTCTCTCTCTCTCCTTCAGCCCTCTTGGTGTTGACAAAAACTGAGGTAGGTGTTTAGGCTTCCCACTTCATCTTGTCTTTGGTCACTAGATTTTTTTTTTCCCTCTCCTTCAGCCCTCTTGGTGTTGACAAAGACTGAGGTAGGTGTTTAGGCTTCGTAGCAATGATGGATGAAGTAGATCTATTAAACATTAAAAAAAAAAAATTGAAGAGTTGGCAATTTGGCAAGATGGGCCCACAATTTGATGAGCCCTTCAAATGCAAGGCTAACTTGACATACACTTTTACTTGTTGCAAATCTCAGAAGAGCATTTATATTAGCTTATTTGTCACATCAGATGTAAGTGGAAGCACTCGTGTCAGTTTTATAAATCTCCATGAAATATTAAAAAAAAACATGTGCCTTTTTGGTTGTTGATGCTGCCTTGATCTCACTGAAAAAGAAAAAAAAGAAAAACAGAGGGCAAGGTAAGAACATAACTATCACTTGTGTACACTGGATGAAAGAGTGCAATTATAGAACAGTGGTAGAAAATAAAAAGTCAGCAAGTGACTCATAAGTACAAGCCCTGAAATAGCTCAGCTTTGCATATGTGCGATAGATCTGCTAACGACTAACTAATGAAATAGAACAATGAATCACTTGGGACTCGATTTAAAAGCTCCAATGAAGTCCACCTACATTTGTAGAACCAGAAATGCCACTGACTTTCAGCAAGCATGGCCCTCAGCATCCTGTGGAACAGGAAAGAAGGCCAGCTACTGGTAAGTGCCATGGCACCAGCCCCCTTCCTTTCTTCTCCCCCTGCCTGTCTGGGGAGCACAGGTGTTCAGTGGTTAAGCCTCAGGGGCCACGCCTCTGCTGAGGTAGGTCTCTCTGGTTCCTCTTCTTCTCTTCTGCTGGCCTCAGGCTGCTGAAGGCCCTTCCCTCTTTCAAGGGGACACCACCCTTTTCCTCTGTGGCTTCACTTCTCCCTCCCCAGCCTAGAGATGCAGGTGTGCTTGCTTCACCTGGTCTCTGCTCCCACCTCACCTACGTACCTGTCCTCTCCACGCCGAGACCTCACTGCAGATCAGTTCCGGTAAGCAGGCAGGGAGAGAAGAGCAAGTGTGGGGGAGCCTTGCGGCTCAGGAAATCTCACCAGCTTCTCACCTCCTGGGCCCTGGCTATGAGACAGGCTGGTAAGCGAGGACAGCGGAACAGGGCAACTGAGACAGGGAGCTAAACAGCAGTTTGCAGCCATCTAGTAAATCCTATCTTCCCTAAACCAGGGACGCTTCAGAGTAAATGGTTTGCACTTCTCCTTCCCAAACAGAGGGTAAACAGCTTAAATCTCCCTACTCAGGGAGACAGATACAGAAATCCAACTAGTGCCACTTGCCAACCACACCCAAGGACAGAGGAAGTTAAGAGAATAAACCTCATTTTGGTCCATCAGCATAAAGCTGATGAATATTCTATTGTGATCCTCCCCTAAGACCTCTCTGTCCAGTGTGATCCCTAAGATCCCTGAAAACAAAGGTCCAGTGTGCCCTCTCCCTCCCGGGAGCACACTCCTGCTTCCCCTGCTTTCCCCCGACAGGCATGCACCTCCTAAATTCTGAGGGACCCCATGAGGCTTGCAACCAGGGCAGCCATGGGCAGTGGCAGGTCATCCCAGGCAACCCCCTGAGCCTGTCCCCAAGGTCCCCTTTACTCTGACTTCTTAACCAAAGCAGCCCGGCCTGGGCTCACTTCCCAGCCCTTCCTTGTTTCATGTCCCCAGCTTTAACAAACGCCCTCTAACCTTCACCTGGACTCCTATTGTGAACTTTTTCCTGCACGAAGTCAAGAACCCACACATTATGCTGGCCCTAGGCAGACCCGCTCAGGGCCAGGGCCCCTTTCCAGAAACAGCTAAAACCCCTGCCCCCCGGAAGTCCCTGGGCCTCTGCACACTCTGAGTTCTCTGTCCTGGACTGTCTTGTGAGCACGGAGCTCACCTCTCCCTGGCACTTGCTTGACCACCTGTGCGGCCTTGGGCACATCACTGAACCCCTTTGCGCCTCAGTTTTCTCACCCCTCAGGTTGTAGTGAGGTTTCAGAAAGATAGTCCCCTTAGCACAGTGCCGGTACATAGTGGGAATTACCATTAGGACTCTGGCCCAAATCTGGTAGCCACGACCCAGCACCGGAAGAGGGCATGCCTGGCGTGGCTGGGCCTCCTGGACTTTGCTCCATCCCTGCAGCCAGCGTTCATTCTGATTGCTCAGCACCTGTGCCTTCCTGGTTGCTAAGCATTTTTCATCTTAATGCTGGTTGTACTATGCGCACGAGAGCAAAGTCAGAGAAGTGTGCGCTGCTGGGTCATTAAAGCACAGGAGGGGTGAGACGAGAATCCCAGCAGCAGCATGGAGGGACGGGAGGGCGGAGGATGGCGAGGTGTCGTTTGTTTGCAACATGATAGGCAAACGGGATCTTAATGGCTTTCAACGTAACAGACACCTGTAAGGAAGATGGCTGTGTTAGTCTTCTGTGGTGCCCTGACAATGCCACAAACGGGGCTTAAAAACAAAAGGAATTTATTTTCTCACAATTCGGGTGACCAGAAGTCTGTCCTCCCTCTGAAGGTGCTGTCAGGGCCACGTTCCCTCTGTAAACTCTAGGAGAGAATCCCTCCTTTCCTCTTGCAATGTCTGGTGGCCCCGGGTGTTCACGGGCTTTGGCAGCACAGCTTCAGTCCCTACCTCCCTCTTCACACGGCCTTGGCCCTGTGGTTCTTTGTGCCTCACATTCGCATCTGCCTTTCTCTTCCAAGAACATCTGTCATTGGAGTTAGGGTCCATTCTAAGTTCAAGATTATATCATCTTGAGATCTTTAATTACATCTGCAAACATTTTTTTTTTTACAAAATAAGATCACATTCACAAGTTCTGGGGTTAAGACTTGAACATATCTTTTGGGGGAACCACTAGTTTGTACTATCAGCCCGATACAATGATAGGCAAAAGCAGTGGCTGATACACAACTTCATAGATTTTCAGAAGGCTAATTCCACATCGAAGAGTATAATGTAGTAGCCTTGGTTTTTACCCAACATGTTCCTCAGCACCCTTCAGCTGCTCTTTCTCCAGGGGAGAACCTGTCTTTTTCAGCTTCTAAAACCCACTTGCATTCCTTGGTCATGGCCTCACCTTCCTCCCATCTCTATTTCTATCATCTACTTGTAGAAGATATAATCTTGAACTTAGAATGGACTTCTAAGATGATATAATCTTGAACTTAGAATGGACTTCTCTAACTCTGGCCCTCCTGCCTCCCTCTTATAAGGACTCTTATGATTACATTAGGCCCACCCAGATAATCCAGAATAATCTTCCCATGTCAAGGCCCTTATTTTAATCACATCTTCGAAGTCTCTTTCGCTGTGTACAGCAACATAATCAGGTTCCAGGGATGAAGATGTGGACATCTTCGGGGCTCTTACTCTGTTGACCACAGTTGGAAACTTAGGTTTTATTCTAAGAGCAAGGAAGTGAAACCAGCAGAATAAGAATCACAAAGCCGAGGAAGAATCATACTGGACAGCAGAGACCCAAGGGTTAGCCATGGCCAGAGGATGTAAAAGTTAACACAGAAGACCCCTATGCAATATTTTGAAACTGATGGAATATCTGGTCATGTGTAGGGCAACTAGTATAGAATCTATTTTTTCATAGTCTGTGTTTGGTCTTTCTCAGTTAATCCTTTGAGGTTTCTATGAAGCCCCAAGTCCCAGGACACCTTTGGTTATTGTTACAGGTGAAAACCTGGACAAGGTGGACCAAGGATGACTATTTTGGTCAAGATCCCATGCCCACATTGAGCAGGCCAGGGGGATTGTCATTTTAGCAGGTACAGTCCTACACACCTTATCAAAGCATTGCCCAGAAGGGACAGATCCTAGAACCAATTCAAGAATAAGGAAATGGCCAATTGGCAATAGAAAGAAATGTCACAAAACTACCAGAAATTAAAGAATATAGACTATGTTGATTTCTGGAAAGGCTCTATTCACAACACTAAGAAGAAAGAATGCGCAGAATTGTTCATACTGGTTACATTTCTGTAAGGCATAATAAGTTAGTAAAGGGGATAAGGACACATATGTAATACCTTAATCAATAAAGAAAAAATAAATAAGTTAGTAAAGCTTTGAATAGCGTTTTAAGTTTTCTCTACAGTTTGTGAAGTTTATTCAAACATGCTTGTGCTTCTGCCAACAGCTTCCCGTCTCTGATGTAGCACAGAGTTGCTCAAAACTACCCACAATGCCCTTCAGCGGCTGTCTTTGGGTTGCCTCTCCTTCTCCTGTCTTCACTGCGTTTCTAATCCCACTCCACCTGGCTTCAGCTCTCTTTACCTACTTCATTGCTCTCTTGTTTCGTTGACCCGTTAGAATAAACTTCCCGAGTTCACTGGCTGCCCTACCCCGTCTGGGAGTCTTGGTTCCCCTTTCAGAGCTGTGGGTAAGAACCTCAGGGTCCCCGCCAGGCCACTCAGGGTCAGACAAGCCAGGCCAGCCCAGCAGGCTTCACCTCCAAGGAGAGTAGCAGAGCGATCCCATGATAATTCCTTTCCAGAAACACATTGCTTGAAGAAGTTACAGGTTCTTTACCAACCCGCAGGAACACTGTATTCAGTCAGAAAATTTTCACAGCAACCCAAATCTTAGAGCTGATGCTGACTCTTGGGATCCAGAAAAGTTGTTATCCGATGACACCTTAATAGGGAAAAACAAGCAAACAAACATGCCCTTCAGGAGACTGGGAGAAAGACAGCTCGGTTCTGATGTGTAATTATCCCCTATATCAAACTATATAGTAAGGGTGGGGAAGAGGGCAGAATAGCATAACAATTTGAAAACACAGATTCTGGACCCAGATTTTCTGGGCTCAACTCTGCCATTGATGGGCTGCTGCTTTTGGATGTGAGACCTAGCAGCTCTTTATGCTCATTTCAACATCTGCTCAATCAGGACAACAGCAGTACCTACCTTATTGAGTCGTTTTGAATAGCGCCTGGGATGCAGCAAGCACTCAGTGTATGTTAACTGCTAGTGTTCTCATGGAATGTTTCCAACTACATCACCGGTATTGGAAACTGCTGACATAGCCCATCTAGCTTTGTAAGCAAGTGGCACCCGTGCACGGAACCTTGCAGAGCAGTTAAATTGTGTCTGTTAACACAAAGCCCCACAAAAGCATCTTGGTGGTTGCTGGGTAGGAGGCTGAAGCATGTTCTGTCTGGTGCTTGGTTTGTTGGTGAGGCAAGATGCTAATGAGACCACCGCTGTAGAGTTAAATACATCATTCATTCTGTTCTATGACCCAAACTGAAGTCTTTGCTTCTCCAACCATCCCTCAGGCATATGCCATTGGCTAAAAACGCTTGGCAATCATTATTGGCTATTTTTGGACTAAGGTCACTATTATTAATTGCCACAGTTCCATGGGCAACCTATGATGGGTTATTAGGATCCCCTTCCTGAATGAATAAGGATATATTTTGCCATCAACAGAATTGGATAAAGGTAATTCAAAGAAGACAAAGAGAAGAATTCCTATAAGGACATACTAATACATAACTTCAAAGTGTACTTCCAAATAAATTACTCCATAAAAGAGGCAGAAAGAGACCTGCTTGCATAATCTTGGATAAGTCTGTTTCACTTCACCAACTGAAGTTTCTGTTTCCTTATCAGCAGTTGGGGGGCGGGGGGCAGGGAAAGAGATAGTGGCCTAGATCAGCCTTATTAGAAAGCAAATCCTTTTCCACAAGGAACGCCCGGATCTCACACAGTTATTAGAAACACTATCCTAGAGGATCTATAATGAGGCCTGGCTCATTTACTATGCCCCCAGGGCACAGCAGCCCACCTGGCTCGGACAAAGGTTTCCTTCCTCCTCAAGGCTCACACAGCACTGCCTCCCCTCAGCCCTTCCCTATGCCCTTGGGTCTAGAGCAGTGGTTCTCAACCTTCCTAATGCCGCGACCCTTTAATACAGTTCCTCATGTTGTGGTGACCCCCAACCATAAAATTATTTTCGTTGCTACTTCATAACTGTAATTTTGCTACTGTTATGAATGTAAATATCTGATATGCAGGATGTATTTTCATTGTTACAAATTGAACATAATTAAAGCATAGTGATTAATCGCAAAAACAATATGTAATTATATATGTGTTTTCCGATGGTGTTAGGCGACCCACAGGTTGAGAACCGCTGGTCTAGAGGGTATGTCCACTTATACTATTCCAATTTACAGACTCCAAGTACATATAGGAGCATGGATGTGTATGCATAAGCTTGGAGACTGAGAGAGGAGAAACCCTCCATGTTCCATTCAATTCTTCTGGGTTCTTTATTATCTTGATACAACCTGGGTGATGGTCTTGGTGTCATTTCATGACCCTTGTAGGTAATCTCACTGTATTCCATCTCAGGCATTTCCTTCTCTATAGAAAACAGTATGGTGGCCCCTCTATAGCGGCTGCACCATTCACCTTCCCACCAGCAATGTACAAGGGTTCCGATTTCTTCACACCCACACCAACATTTGTTATTTTCTTTCTTTTTTAATAATAGCCATCTTAATGAATACAAAATGCCAGCAGATGTTTTTAAGATCATTTTGGTGGGAGGGCTTGCCAACACAACCTAATCAGACACCTGCCATTCAAGCTATTTATACTATAATCAGGGGCATCCTGGTACTGCCCCTCTACCCTCACCCCAGGTATCCACCATTTATTTCTGGGACTATCGAAGCTCCTAGGCCACACATCCCAATCACCCAGGCCACTCGGGTATCCCTCCCAAGCTCCTCCTGCTCCTGAAAGGCAGGCTCAGGCTGACTCATACATTAGTCTTTAATCACCTCTCTGATACCTTGAGAAAAACTATCGAAGCTCCTAGGCCACACATCCCAATCACCCCAGGCCATTCGGTTATCCCTCCCAAGCTCCTCCTGCTCCTGAAAGGCGGGCTCAGGCTGACTCACACATTAGTCTTTAATCACCTCTCTGATACCGTGAGAAAATGCGTACACTCACTTTTTTAAAGAACATTTTTAATATCAGCTTTACTGAGGTACAATTTATACACCATAAAATTTGTCCTTTTGCCCTAACCAGTTTGGCTCAGTGGATAGAGCGTCAACCTGCAGACTGAAGGGTTCCAGGTTCGATTCAGGTAAGGGCATGTTTGGTTGCAGACACATACCCAGTAGGGAGTGTGCAGGAGGCAGCTGATCGATGTTTCTCTTTCATTGATGTTCCTAACTCTCTATCCCTCTCTCTTCCTCTCTGTAAAAAATCAATAAAATATATATGTTTTAAAATTGTCCTTTTAAAATAACATTTTTTAAGATATATTTTTATTGATTTCAGAGAGGAAGGGAGAGGGAGAGATAGAAACATCAACGATGAGAGAGAATCATTGATCGGCTGCCTCCTGCACACCCCACACTGGGGATGGAGCCTGCAACCCGGGCATGTGCCCTGACTGGGAATCGAACTGTGACCTCCTGGTTCATAGGTCGACGCTCAACCACCGAGCCACACCAGCTGGGCACGCATCATTTCTTTCTTCGCCATCATGATGTTATACTTGTCAGTAGAGAGCGCTGGAGAAACGTGGCACAAGACAAGGGTTTTGCTTCCTGGTTCCAGCGTGTTCAATGGCAATGCGGGCCACTCCTCCAGTGTCTGGCTCTTGCAACATTGGTGCCTTCTCTAGCATCTGGGTCCTTCAGCAGCACCTAGCAGCCCGCAGTTTATCATGGCACCTCCCTCAGGTAAGCGTTCTCATATACAGCTTTCCCCAGCATCCTAGAGAACGAATTCCCAGTGCATTCTAGGGGGTAGGTTTTCAGCAAGTTCCACTGGAATGGTGTGGCCGTGACTTGTCTGTCCATCAGTAAGACACAGCTGTGCCCTCTCCAACAAGGTCTGGATCTCAAATGGGGGTGGGGATATGGGAGTGCCTGGCTCTCCACATCTGCTATTCCTGCTTCTTTGGAACTCTTTTTACTTCTTGCTAGCCAATCCCTTATTATTCCAATCGCCTGTTACAGTTAATAATTCTTTAGGTTAAACTTTGATCTAATGTTCAAACGATCAAGTGGCTCCTCTCTTCCTGATGAGCTCTGCAGGACACAGGTGGCAAGTGAGACCAGGCTCTGATGGCATTGACTGGGCCAGAAGCCACCGCTTCCTCTGGGCTCTTCAGTTACATAAGTCAACACTACTTTTTCTTTATTTGAGCCATTTTGAGTTGGGTTTCTACCTCTAGCAGAATCTCAATTACATAAACCACAAAAGGAGAAGGAACAATGAAGGTTTACCCATCAAAATGCTTCCTCTGGGCTCTTCAGTTACATAAGTCAACACTATTTTTTTCTTTACTTGAGCCATTTTGAGTTGGGTTTATGCCTCTAGCACAGTGGTTCTCAACCTTCCTAATGCCACGACCCTTTAATACAGTTCCTTATGTTGTGGTGACCCCCCAATTTCATTGTTACAAATTGAACATAATTAAAGCATAGTGATTAATCACAAAAACAATATGTAATTATATGTTTTCTGATGGTCTTAGGCGACCCCTGTGAAAGGGTCATTCGACCCCAAAGGGGTCGGGACCCACAGGTTGAGAACCGCTGCTCTAGCAGAATCTCAATTACATAAACCACAAAAGGAGAAGGAACAATGAAGGTTTACCCATCAAAATGTCATCTACTTAGTCCTGGCCGGTTTGGCTCAGTGGAAAGCGTTGGCCTGCAAACTGAGGGGTCCTGGGTTCGATTCTGGTCAAGGGCACATGCCAGGGTTGTGGGCTCGGTCCCCAGTGGGAGGCGTGCAGGAGGCAGTGATCGATGATTCTCTCTCATCATTGATGTTTCTGTCTCTCTCTCTCCCTCTCTGAAATCAATAAAAATACATTTTAAAAAATGTCATCTACTTTGGGGGCAGTATGAGAACTATTTACATTTCCACTGTGTGAAGGAAAAATTTGAATGTAATGGTCAGTTTGAATTGTAGGACCATACTGTACCAAATGGAACCAATGGATGAGACATGATCTCAGTTCATTGTGAAAGCATGAGGAAGGACTTGCCAGCAATTCAGTGGAATGAACTGCCTTGTCCATGGTGAGGGCCCTGTCCCTGGTGGTGTTGGGGGACAAGGGGGGACAGTCACACTCAGGTATGCTATGGAAGAGATTATTGCATTGGGTGGGAAATGCAACTAAATGACCTATGAAGTTCCTCCCAGATCTAAAATTCTGCTATTAGGTTTGTGAAAATTCCTTAGCCCAAACCCCATTAGACAGTCCCAGCTAAGAGAAAACCAGACAAGGACTACATTGTGTATCATGTGAATCCCTCGGGATCGGAACTTTGGGTGCTGCCAGATGTTATCATTAGATGCAAAGAAAAAGGACTAAGTCACCAGATAGGCGTGTTTAAATAAGACTTCCTGGCCCTGCTAAGAACACAATGCATGGCATGAAAAATGGGAAAGCAATTACTGTAAATAAAATCATTCTGAAAGTAAGCGTATTTATTATTATTATTGTTATTATTTTGGATTACAAAAGCCCTCTATTTTACCCTTAGGACACCTATCAGTCCATCCCAAAGCTTTCTCAGTTTCTCTCCCTCTTCCTCCCCCTCCTAAAAGTCCCCTCAGTGTTTTTACCCCCTGTCCTCCCTGCAGGTCTTCTTCATCGGAGTAGAACACCCTGCTACCATCTCCCTTCACCCCTGCAGTCAGGGTATTGGGCGAAAATAAGCATATTTAAACACTTAATTTTAATTTGGCTTAAGCATATTTACCTGACTCAGAATTAGATTGCTTAAATGGGTAGGTAAATATAAAGGGTTCCAAGATCCCAGCTTCACACAAGGTATGGAACATTAAGCTGGAAGGCAGCCAACATTGATTCTGTTCCTGCTTTTTATAGTGACCTTGGGACAAGGGGGTGGGGTGGAGGGGAAGAAGAAAAAGAACTTGATTTTGCTGAGCTTTGGCTTATCCCAGTACAAGAATAAAAAAATAAAAAAAAATAGTCACACCCACATCACAGAGTTTGTGAAAGTTAAACAGGAAATGCCTACAAAAATAGAAAACAATGTATTCATTATGAACATAATAGGTATTTTTAGTCAGAATCTTTTAATGCAAAGGTTTTGGGGCCTAAGTTATACTGAAAGCTGCATTATTTAGTCAGTTATTTCCCAACACCCTCTGAATTAATATGACTTTTAAAGATATCCAATCAAAACCTAGCTAGTTCTAACACACAGGATAAGTTGGTTTAACATATACCAAAAAAAAAAAAACACCAAAAACATAGCAAGTGAAACTGAAACCTATAGAAAATCAGTAACAGTGGACTCAAAGGCATAACGTACTCAGGAAGTCAGAGGCAACTTTATATGGAGTAGTCCTCTAGACCAAACATGTCAGCAAATCAGATCATTCTTTCTCACCATCAATAATTTTTTCCTTGTCTGTAAGGGGAAAATATCCAACCACAGCTCCATCACAGGTTTTGTGGAGCAAAACTTGCTTTCAAGTTGAATCACTTGCTTTGTCCTTCTATTTGCTCTTGTTCTATTTAATGTTTTTGTATGCAGACCGCATCCTGAAGGGAAAATCATTTTTAAACCTAATTCTTACGGATATCCTCACCCCAGGAACGTTTTGTGATTGCTTATTTACTCCTTACACAGCGGGAGGAAAGGCAGGAACTGGTTAGAGGCAAGAAGGGTCGGGACTGCCCCAGAATTAAACCTTCAGTGTCTGGTCCGTTAAAATCAGTTTCTAGAGCACATAGCTCTATCCATGTTCAAGTCACTCCAAAGCCTCATGTATGATTTAGGGATCATCATCCGCTGCCCAGACCATCACAGAAGAGCCTCAACACTCTGCAGCTGAAGGGAAGGGGCTTGGGAAACCACATTTGCGATGTTCTCCTAAAGCCTGGAGCTGTGAAAGGAGACCAAAGAAAGCATCGGTGATCACTTGCAGATGCTTCATTATAGGAAACTAGAGGCCTGGTGCACAGATTCATACACATTGAAAGTAAATTAATTAGAAGGTGGCCGGCTGGGTGGGACTGGGAGAGACGGGCTGGACACACCCTGGAGCCAACCTCCTGCGGGCCCTCCCTGGCCGGCCGCACCTGGGGAGGCACTGGTGCTCGAAGGGCATCTGCTGAGTGAGTGGGGTCCCTCCCGCAGGTGGGGTCTCTTGGCTTGGCCTGCGGGGATCAGGCCAAAACCCGCAGCCCAACATCCCCCGAGGGGTCCCGGAGTGCGAGAGGGCACTCTGTAAAGTTGCTTTTGCTTGGCAGCTCTTGCGTTGAGGGTCTGCCCCCTGGTGGTCATTGTGCGTCATAGCTACTGGTTGGATGGTCAGCTTTTATATATTTACACACACACACACACACACACACACACACACACACACACACACACTTTGGAGATGAGACAGAAGTGGGGTGGTTAGGCATAGGCAGAACTCAACTCCAAGGTGGGTGTGTGCCTCCTGCAAGCCCCAGTGTGAAGGCTTGGGCCCTGTAACCTGGAGTGAAAAGATGGGAAAGGTGGAACATCCAAGAGGCGGGTCTCCAGAGACCATTGCTAGAGGAGCTCTCCTCTCTGTTTAGAATAGGGAAGGTAGCAGGAACTCAGCACAGCTAACCTCTTGCATGAACCATAGAAATGTTGGCCAGTCAGGGGCATCGAGGGAGTGGAATGTGGAGACTGACACGGTGAGCGCAGCCATTTTTGTTGGCTAGCAACTCAGGATGAGTGGTGGCTGGGGGTGGTCCATAGAACACACCCTGAGAGGGAAGCCGGCTTTCAAGGAAACCAAATCTCTCTGGATTGGGGTGGTGCCCCCACGGCGTTGGCAACGTGGTGGCACTGACATATGAAGGCCTCAATTATACTAAAGACTTTGAGGTCTCCATGTTGGAGGATGGATCTGACTGAAATCTACCATTCCTTGTGCGGACTAAAGACTTTGAGGTCTCCATGTTGGAGGATGGATCTAACTGAAATCTACCATTCCTTTTGCGGACCCTGGTAGCTAACGGCTCAAATTTTTAAAAACAGAGCCTAGCATGTATTTCTACACAGAGTCTGGTCACCCACCTTGCACTTCAGAGAAGCCTATGAACTCCCTGCCCCTGCACTGAACTCCCTGCCTGCACGGTGTTTCTGCCATCTGAGCCAGCCCTTATTAAAGAGTTCCTGGAATCCTATTTCAACTAATAAGACTGAGGCTTTCCCCACCCAATGGGAGCTGCCCAGCTATAGGGTCCTTCAACATCTTCAGCAAACAGAGCAGCTCCACTCTGACCAATCAGAAATTACCTTTTCAACCAATCAACTGCATGTATTTGGAGTCCTCATTTGCATGAGAACTGACCAATCAGGGACCAGAGGCAGGACCTTCTGTCCATATAGGCTCCCTCCACTCTGGCTATGGGAGCACACTTTTCCTTCCCAGCGAAGGGGGAAGACTGCATTTTCCTAGCTGTGCTAAAACACACCTGAGCTGTCTTCCCAGAGCGGAGCAGAGTAGACCAGCACAGTGCAAAGTGATGGGCCTGCAGTGGAGCAGAGCTGTCTAGCTGGCGAGGGACCTGGCCCACAAAGCATGGCTACACTTTACTACAGAAAAAGTTACATATTTAATAATTTATTGTGCCAAATGCCATTCCTTTTGTTTTTGAACAAATTCTTTTATCTGGTACATACAGATATGATGAGAAAATTCATGTCCATTGAAGGTTGCTAATTTTTAAGAAATAACTTTCCAGTTGCCCAAGAAGTATATGTTCATTACAAGAAAAAGGTAGAGTGGTGTCAGAAACTATCTATCGTCTTCACTAGCAGAGAAGAGTAGAGACCCCCAAAAGCTAGTGACCTTTGAAGCCCTAGCAAAGGTCGAAGCTGTGCACCACCCAGTTAATCTAGATAATGGTAGCTGAAGCATCATCCCCACCTTAGTTCACTTAATTCCTTAGATACTCTTGTAAATCCTTGTTGATTAGATACTCTGCCTATTTCTGGAAATTGTCTGCTAATCAGTGTGTCATTGAAATCTCCTTACCTAAGGGCTACTCCAGATCAATAAAAGGTTGGAGCGGCCTGAGCATCAGTGGAAGTCCTTCTGGACTTGCCCGCCTGGTCCCCCAATATTTCCAAATTATCTCGTGCCTTTTCTCTTTCATTTGTGTGCAGCCCCTCTTTCAGATCCCGAACCCTAATCCACG